AATGGGTCATCCATCATAAGAATGCTCGTGTGCAACAAGCTTAACCTATAGTTCTTAACAAATGAACTACCCTTAAAAGAATGTGCACCTTGTTGGTATGCGTAACATTTTAATTTAATCCTTTTGACATCTTTCTCGTGTTGATTAAATAGTCCCTTAGTCCTTTTGACATCTTTCTTTTTTGAGATGTCCTTAAATTAAAGTTTCACTTCCTTATTTGATAAACAAATATATACCAAACAATGTCAAATGATACAAAACAGTGCAAAACAATGTGATAGTGTCAAAGCAATGTATTTTACAATAAAATTTATCACTCAAAATATTCATTTTCTTAATCCATGTGAAGTCAAACCAGAATTTTAATTTAGGGAAAACTGTCAAATAGGTCCTCGAACTTTCATAAAAAGGTCAAATAAGTCCTTATATAGGAGGCTCTGTCCGGCCGTCGCGATTTGGGGCAGTTCCCGGTGGATTTTTTTGATGAAATTTTTTTAACATCCTATTCATCAAGTCTAGTTTACTCATACCAAATTTGAGCTAAAACTTTAATCGGGAACACATTCAAATTAATTCTTGAAGATAACTTAAATATGTATGTAATATTTCATATATATTACACACAGTTATCTTCAAGAATATTACATAATTTTCTACTATATATCAGATAACTATATATATATTACACACAGTTTTCGCTCCCTACACTAATGGAAAAAAATCGCCCCTTGATTCGAAATCTTAGATCCGTCCTGGATATATTTGTTCCAAATATATTTGTACTCTTCCCGGAAGCATATATTTGTACTCTTCCCTTTTTATAATTCAAATCGAATAATTCATATCATTTCGATTTTCGATCAATCTAAACAAACTATACCAAAGGGACTAAACAAATGCAAGAAATGCATAAATAATGTGCAGCTATCCTTCTATATTCCGAACCGAATCACATGCTTAAGTGATTAAGAATCGGCCGTGTGCTCTCAGTTAGTTTCATTTCATCTTAATGAATTGGTGGTTTCAATAATTAGCAGTTGATACTGAGATGACATTTGTAAAGGAGAGCATGTGCTTGACAAGCCATTAAGGAAAAGGTCACTTAACTTTAATTAGATGGTCTACGTGCATTGTCTTGTCCGCACTCTCGAATTGACATACACACCGCAACAATGCCCTGTTTTTCCTTCTTGAAGGGAGGGATTTGGTTTGGGATAAGGATCACGATAATTTCAATTTTAAACATTATTAGGATTTGTGTTTTTATATACTACCCCGTCCCCGAAAACAACTTCTCACTTTCTTTAAATGGATGTCCCAAAATTAACTTCACACTTCAATACTTTCCTTATTTGGCAAATTATCTACATAAAAAAAGTGATAAACAATGTCAAACAGTGCTTAAACAGTGCAAAACAGTGCATTCTACAGTAAAGTCAAATTTATTTCCTAAAAGTGTGTGAAAGTCCAACCGGGAGGTTGTTTTCAGGACGGAGGGAGTAAGAATTCCGTAAAGAAAACACAAAGGGTCCATTTGGTAGTTTGCACATTAAAACTTTACCCATGTAATGTTTAGAGTCGTAAAATAATTTACATGTAAAATAGAAATGCACCTTATGATCATGTGTATAATCTATTTTTAAATTACACGCAAACATTTTACATTGTTTGTTGTCAAATAAATTTATATGTAAAATGTTCAGTAAAATGTTCTAATTAACGTGGAACAACCGGAAATACCGGATCATCATCTGCAAAGTGATTAATCACCACAAAAGTGTAATTTTATTTGAATCAACTAGAAAAGGATTAATCACTGAAAATTACTATTCTCCTTAATCAAATACTAGAAATAATTCTTAGAAAATCACTAAACATAACTTTTAAATTCAACTAAACATCAAACCTAAAGATCCAATTTTCGAATATTTATACTATGTGTATATATATATATTGTAGAAGCTAACCTGTTTAATTTGTTAATTTGGATGGAGAGCAGATTCTGTTTTCATATATACTATGTACAAGGAGAAAAGAGAGTTTTTTCTTTGCAGTCATAATGGAGTCTTCAAATTGACTTGCTTTGCTGTCATCGGAGGAGAGGAGCAATTTTTTGCCATAATAGATGCGAGTATTGCTTTGCCGCCATAGGAGGAGAAAAGAGAGTTCTTGCCGCCGATACTACGTTGAACCGACGGTTTAGTACCCTCCCCACGTAAAATAGTTTACATGGTTCGGTTTAAAATGTTTTTAAAAAGGGCTCTACAGTTTACATAGGTTTTATAAAGAAAAGTATAAGGTTTTAAAATGTTTTTAAAAAGGGCTCTACAGTTTACTAGGGCTCGTTTGTTATCATGTAAACTAAACATTTTGCGTGTAAAGTGTGGGGAAGTAAACATTTTACATCGTTTGTTTTGACTATTTAATGTAAACTGTAGGGCACTTTTTTAAAAACATTTTACACTATACCATGTAAAATATTTTACTTGGGGGCTGGCTAGTAAAGTAGTTTACATCCCTTGATGCGGGAGAATAAACGCATCTAATAACAATTCAACCTAGCAGGCGTTTGAAAATTGGATTTTGGCCGCAAGCCAATCTTGCCGGCAATAAATTAAACTCTTTTTTTCTCCTACAAATCATCAAATCTCTTGTCTTCTCCATATGCGAGCTCTCTACAGACTACCGTCTACACCCCTTGTTCCTATATAATGGTGATAACTGCATGATTTTAATTTGTGCTTGGTTTTTAATTTATGATTTGCTCATATCGGATTAAAGTCAAGATGCATGCTAGGTTTTAAATTTTTGTGGTTGGGATAAGTACGATTTGTGATTGTGTAAATATTTCATGTTCTTTAATTTTGTAAATTTTACGTGTAAAACTATTTTCCAAAAAAAAAACATTAAAAAAAGTTTGCGTGTAGTTTAAACGGATTACATAGATAACAAAAGATGTATTTTTAGTTTACATGCAAACTAATTACAACCCTACATTTTACATGCAATCATTTTGCGTGTAAAGTTTTAATGTGTGAACTACCAAACGGGCCTTAGATAATTAAAACAAACGGTGTAAAATGTTTACTTCCCTACACTTTACACGGTGTAAAACAAAGCGTTTACTTTACCTCATAACAAACGGGCTCAAAGTATAATTAGCATTATTATGCGGAGTAATCGTTTGGTGACCAATTATTCGTATAATAATCAAAATAAGTAACGTTGGAGTTACTTTTGTGACTGAAATGAATGAGATGATATTGTAGCTACTATCCTTTAAATTTTTTAATTTTTAGGGTGAAACTAAAATTTACGGAGTATTTCTTTATTTCTTCTCTCAAGATAAATGGCGTTCTTAGTGAGAATCCCAATGAAGAACCTACTAAACTACCATCGTCCCATTTTATGTGTCTCACTTTGACTTGGCACGACTTTTAATAAATTGGCTGAAAAAATAAAGGTTGTGCTTGAGGTTTGAGTATAATAAAGTGAAATGGTGTAAGTCACATATTTCTTTTCAAAAGAGAAAATGAGACACTTATTTTGAGACAACCGAAAAAAGAAAGTAAGACAGGTAAAATGAGACGGGAAGAGTAGTATATAACTTCTTATGATTTCAGCACACCTGATTATATAACGTGTTTCCTGTTTAATTCCTTACCTTTTAGATATAAAAATTTAAAACACCTTAATTATAAGTAATTAAATTAAAATTATAGTTTCCTTTAGTGATTTCAACCGAAAAACTTTTGATGTTTATATAAGATAATAGCATAGTGTTCTTTCTCTAAAGCAATATATAGATAATGATCACAATAATTGTTAGCATTCATTTTCGTCAATATTGGAAGAGTGTAAGAATGTTTATGGGCAAAAAATAAATTGGTCTTTTCATGTTGAGCAGTAATCACTTTCTCAAAAGTTCGGTATAGGACATACATTTCATACTTACACATTAAGACAAGTGAAATTTAAGAATGCTGGAAGATCACAATCTAGATTCTAGAATGACATTCATATTAAGTTTGACACATGACACTTTTAAATTTCACTCAAGAAATGACACTTAGAGGCCGTTTGGCAACACTGCTTTTCGGCTTATCAGGCTTATCAGTCAACTTTTTCACCAAACACGTAACTTTTGCTTTCACGCGCTGAATTGTGTAATAAGCAGAAAAGTAAAGTTGAAGTTACTTTTCTGGCTGTATTGGCTGAAGTTACTGTAGATGACCATTTTAGCTATTTTTACATATATTTTTTTCTTTATTTTATTAATAAAATATATTTTAAAAATAATTTTTTCTTAAATCAGCATAATCAGCCAATGCAACCGCTTCAGCCAAAACTTCATAAATTTCAGCAGAACCAGTCAAAACAGCCGATTTTCGTGTTACCAGATGGGCTCTTAGTAATTAGTACCACTCCCAACATTCTTTAGAATAACACACATAGACACACTCATCCTGATAAAAATTCTTACACTTTTAGAATCTTCTCAAGTATTAGCGTTTGGAGAAAAATTGCGAAGAAAAATTGGTTTATACTACTCTGTAGTGCTGTTTAGAGTTGGACTTTGACTGTAAAACTATTTTATTTAGGGAAAGTTCCGGAAGTAAGAATAAAAAAGTTTGAAAATCCAAAATAAAACTGACATGTTTATCCTCAAAATAGGAGTAATTACTGTCAAGTTTGGAAAATACTGCCATGTTTGAAGTCTGGTACTGCCAAAACATGGTAGTAATTAGTCCTATTTTTGGGAATAAAAACATGGCAGTCCTATTTTAGAATTTTAAAACTTTTTTACTCCTATTTTGGATAATATTCTCTTTTATTTAACTAAGCTAGATTATTCAACAGAATAAAATTATTTATTTATTTATCGAATATTCCAGCTAACCACAAAGCCATTGGAATTATAGGTGGAAGGGTCACAGGTTTTGCGCACAAACATGAACAAGTCTCTCATTAATGAATTGGTATTATTACCCGCACGAATAGTTCACTTGATTGAGTGGTGGGAAAATTGGAACATTGATCAATGATCGAAATCAGATGGATCTGTGGTGTGCACGAGTACAAAATATACTACCATCGGACTGACTGAGTCACTATGACTTACAACCTCCCAAAGTCCAGTCGAATCAGGGCATGGGGTGCCTTCGGGGGGGGTCAAGTGTTCAACCTTTTTGGAACACATGAATTGGAATTATTTGAGAATCTTGGATGTAATACTTAAATGCCTCAAGAAGTTCAACTATGATGGAATGATTAATAGACCATTAGACCCTTGTCTATTACAATTGGAGAGAGGTCAGGCCGTACATGTTATAAAATTGAGGATGAATCGGGGTAATCGTTTGGCTAAAAGAGTCCCCTTCGTGTACACGCGGGTTACACGCCGGTCAAATTGTCTGTACATACAATGTTACTGACGTTTAATGAAGAAAACCAATTTTCATACAGACAATAAAATAAAGAGTTGTCTGTATCACAGACATTTTAGACCGGAATTTTTCATAGTGTCTGTGATACAAATAATTTTTTTTTTGTCTGTATGAAAATCGGTTTTCTTCATTAAACGCCGGTCAAATTGTCTGTATAGCTAGTCACATTGCCTGCACACAGACAAGCTAATTGGCAAACCAATAAATGATTTGAATGACATCCTTAATTGACAAATCATGAATACAACTCTTTAATTTTTAAGGATATTATTTTTAATAGCGTTTATAGTTTTTATAATTAAAATCAATGTCCATAATATATACTAATATTTCCATTAAACTCAAATACCCAATTTTTGTACGAAAGATAATTTTGAACCATGGTTTTGGATGAGAAATGGAAAACGAAACATCCTCCCTTGCTAGTAGTTTTGTAATGTCTCTACTTTATAGCATGACCAAAGTTCCTTAAACATTGGAACTTTGAAACTTCTATGCAAAATAAACGAAAAAAGGGAATGCAAACATAGGAATGAACCATAAAAAATTACAAATACTGTGTATTACACTTGAAAAGCTGAAAGAACATGTTCAAATATAAACTGATAGCAATTGTAATCTCTAATAAAAATTGACTATTTGATCCTGGGCATGATGCCGTAGTTGTATCTTCTTTTTTAAAGGAATGGGGGTAAGATAACCCACCTTCGGGGGTATTTAGGCCTTCCTTCTTTTCCATCAAATAGCTGCAGAAAACAGACAAGTTTTAACATCTGAGCTTCTTTAATACGCACATTTTTCCAAAATAAATCACCACAGTTTCAAAAATAATAAATTACAAATAAGATTTAACCCCAAACCAATGGAATCCAACTTGCTGACTTCATGAAACAAGAGAAATCTCCCACCCAAACCCAAACCAAGCCAGGTTTTTGTTTAATATTTTTTACAGTCATATGAAACTAGTTGAAGCTAAAACCAAGCAACACAAACACACATATCTATAAAGGGCATCCCGGTGCACGAATGCATCACCACAAGGTGAGAGTCTGGGGAAGGGTCTCACCATAAGGGTGTATGAGGGGGCAAGCCTTCCCCTATCAAATTTTGATAAGAGGCCTCTCCCAAGACTCGAACCCGTGACCTCTTGCTCATATAGCAACACCTTAACCCGTGACTTCACACACAAATCGATAAAAAAAGACACAAACCGAACCCAAATTAACCAAGTTTGATTTTAAGTCAGCAAAAATGCCTCCAACCCATTCTAAAGACAGTTCTTGACCAAGGACTCCCTTTTTGAAACATAATGAATAATTCAATGTTTATTATAGATGTTTTTGGACTGTTTTCAGTTCCAGACCAGACTAGACCAGACTTTCGTAGTTATAAATACACAGAGACCAGACGTTTACCAGACCAAACCAGAGCAGACCAACTCAGACCAGTTCAGATCAGATCAGACCAGCCCAGCTCAGACCAGACCAGCAAATTTAAGTCCAAAAAAAAATCCTTATTTTTGTTATTTGGGGGAGGGGGGTTACCTTCTTCAGGCGCCGATGCTTTCCAAGAGCCCAGTTAGTCATAATGCCGGCAGCAACTATCATGAAGACATAGCCAGCAACTGTCTGTGTTGCAATATTGAACCCCAACCACTGATAAATCTCAGTGGTGTAATTTGCACATGTGACAATGTTAAACAAAAATCCACGAGGGATTTGGTACCCTCCACCACCACCTGCACCTCTGAGATTTCTCAACAATATATGACAATAAAAGTTACAAACTTGACAAATCAGCCCAAACGCAAACCCAATCTTCATCTGGGCATCACCCACAGGGGTGTAAAATGGGTGATTCACATAGTAAGCAATGACAGAGGAAAATGACCAATAATATGCGCAGTTCCTGAAGACATTTGAAATTGGAGAAGTGGCGTGGCTGAACCGGTGCACAAAAAACGTCTCTAGGATCCGTTTAGCATAATGGAAACAGAAGTAATACATAGCATATGTCTGGACTGGGTGAATAACACGTTTTCCTTCATAGCCTAAGTGTTTGTAGATTGGGAAGTAATAGAAGAGGGGGTAGATAAACAGGGGACCCACGTACTCCCAGAAGAAGAGAGTGCTGTATTTGACTTGTGGTCCCAAATCCTTGAAAACTACAGTAAGCTCATTTGTGTTCCCATCAGTATACTCTTTTAGACTCTTTTGATAGTGAAGAACAGTTGGCTTCTGAGTAGAGCCGCGAGAGAGAGGGAGAGTGAGTCTCTGTCTGGATGGATAGTATTTCTTGGCTGTAGATTTCAGACATTTATCAGTAAAAAAGTGACCGAATGTGCACAGATACGGAACAATGTATCTGGCCCAGAATATAAAGCAAACATATAACTATGAAGACAATAAAAAAACATTTCAACTTAGCTGCACATTCCCATGGACATACCAAAATAAAACAACTTTGCACTCAGTTATTTTCCATTATAACAAACAAACACACATTTAAGCTTGGGTAAATTTTGGTTCATAGAGGGTGTTTGGTACTTTCCATATGAAATACTTTCCATTGAAATACTTCCCTAGAAATTCATTTTCCTAGTCAGAGAGGAAGATAATCCATTTGACTAATTACTTTCTTTGGTCAAATGACAAACCAAAACATCTCTTCAACTAATTTCTCAGAAATGTACGTACTCTCCATTCTAAGAGAAGCCTTTGCTTGAAACTCGTTTCCTTTTCAGGGAAAGTGTATGACAACAGAATCCTCAGAGGTATGAGCATGGCATGGTTCAGTTTACTTAAGTAATTTAGGATAGACTGGGTGAGAATTAGAGATATATAATGCGTAGTATATAATATTCACTGCATCTAGCAATGAAACTACAAATGCTCCTACTGTTCATTGTTCAGTTTATTACTTGCACCCGGGGAAGGAGCCAAGGCGGGCAGGTGGTGGAAGCCACCCTCCCCACACCTTCCTGGTTTTTAAATAAGCTATATACAGTATATGGCATCTTTTATGTAAAATTATACGGAGTAATAAATTTCTGAACATACTCATATAAAATCTGGGAAAAAGTAATTTACCGCATCCATAGAAAAAGCATAGCTCTTTCTCTACTACCACCTCAAAAACTAGTCTTTCAAAAGTTTGGAATGAAACTATTCTGATCCAATATGAGCACGAAATGAAGGTTTTAAAAGTAATTGCCCCATTTTATTAGAAATAATTACTAAAATAATTGTTGTTTACAAAAAAAAAGCGACCTTCTACCTTCTAAGTGTAGTGACTATAGATTATAGATTAACTTAGTCATAGTAAGTTAGTAACTAACGTTTAATTTTTACACTTAAGTGACTATGAGACTATACGATCGTAACTGTTAGTTATAATTTTTCTTGGCCTTGGGAAGAGGGAAGTTGCAATTAATCACATGGATATTGCTCTCAGATATACTAGACTTCTAATGGGTGTTTCTAATACAGCCGGAACATTAGCTGGCATTGTTGGAGTAGATCTTACGAGACGTATGCTTGAATCTGGTAAGCTTCTCGAATCTCGATTGGATCTTACAAGCACAGAAAGCTGGATGGGTGTTTTTACCATTCCCGGATTTTTGTTTGTAATTTCAGCTCTTTTCTTTTTCTATTATTCTCTAATGGAGAAAGTGTTTATGACTGAAGTCCTTGTGCCGTACATCTGTTTTCCTCAGTGAAGGTGCATTATGTTCCTTAACTTTTGTTCACAGCCTAATACCGAGGAGCTCATTGAAGTGTACACACACAAACAGAGAGGGGAGGGAAAGATCAAGTCAGGTGTGCTCTCGCCAGGCCAGTTCCATTTTGGCCAAAAAGTAATTCTAACAGTCCCTTTCAAAGTTTCCAAAGCTTTGTCAATTGATTCTTTTACAACATACTAGATAGTGATTGTAGTCAAGAACATTAATAAATACAGTAATAGCTTTGTAGTCGTACTTAGCTTATCCAGTAACAAGAGACAATTTTTAGAAGGGAGTGTTTTTACCTTTGTTTCACTCATAGATAATTGTATGACCAAGCCTCAAAAGTTATGATATGTAGCTTTGATGGTTGATAAAAATTTATTATTTATTATATTTACAAAGAGGTGTACACACATTTGGCTAATGTTAATGAGAATTATAGATCAATCGGTTGCATCATTTAGTAGTATTCCCAGGAACGTATATAAGTGAAGTTCAACATTTACTCTGTATTTAATATGAGCTAATTAAACTTCTAATATTTATTGTGTGTTTCTGAGTTTACTCATTCATGTGATATATAATACTGTAATATGACTTATAAATGCGGTCATTTATGTATTACGGAGTAATATTTATATTGTATTTGCATTGAGAATATTACCGGAAATAGGACTAAAAATGTTTGAAAATTCAAAAATAGGACTGCCATATTTTTATTCTCAAAATAAGACTAATTAATGTCATGTTTTGGCAGTAACAGACTTCAAACATGGCATTATTTTCCAAATTTGACAGTAATTAGTCTTATTTTGGGGGAAAAACATGACAATCCTATTTTGGAATTTTAAAACTGTTTTAGTCCTAGGGAACTTTCCCCATTTGCATTTTACTTCTTGTGAAACCCAACGGGTGGAATACTAGTATAAATATACTCCGTAATAAACAGACTAAACATTACATACTAGTCAATTTGAAGAATCAACAGCGGGCAAACATAAAACTGATAAAAGGAAGAAAATTTAAGTGGCCTTAGCCCAAAGTAGAGGCTTTTTTTCCTAATAAGAGAAAAACTATCTTAATTTGCCAGTCTTACTTCGTGAAACTGCGTTTCAGTTTTTACTTAAAAAGATTTTTAGACCTCTTCTATTAAATTTATAAAGATTTTTTAAAACCTTTTAATTCTTTTTCCGTTAATCAAACTAAAGCATACAAATATTTCACTGAATATTTTGCGCTAGGACAAATAAAATGGGAAAAGAAAAGGAATAGGAATCACTTACTCCGTCTATGAATTTGCTCCTGCAGATCAGAAACTGTAGCCTACAAAATCCAAAAAATACAGCTGAAATCAAACAAGACGCAAGAGAAATCCAAAGCTCTCAAATGCAGAGATGAAAGCTGGAAGCAGATAATACGTACTGAATCACTGAGCTCAAGTCCGCCCTTGATGAGCTCTCTGCCGCTCCGGGTGTTGACGAAGACCTTCATTTCAGTGCTCTGCTCACGATCCTCCGAGGGAGGAAGCTAGGAAGAGGAGTGGTTATTAGTATGTGCAGAAGAGCGGAGAAAGAGGAGGCTTCAATGGCGTGGTTGAATCTTAATGGGAAGTAGTTGGGCCGTTGAGCTACCTCGCTTTCCTCGCCCATTCATCTCCTTACCTAATGCAGGCCCAATTGTGTGCCTAATTAATTCCTGAAACTCTGTGGGCCCGCCGTTCGGGATGCACATTCTTATGCTTTTACTCATTCTCTGTGGGCCCAAACACTTTAAATAGAATGCTACTCCGTAGTCCGTACTCCGTATTTGGAAAATAACGTGCAGAAAACTTTTTTTTGATGGTAATAACGTGTAGAAATCTTCATCGCTCAAATATCATACGGAGTACTTTCTATGTTATTTACCCCCCTCATCCAATTAAGTTTCTGGTTTGACTTCACACATATTAAGAAAATAAATTTGACTTTATTGTGGAATACACTGTTTAGCACTGTTTAAACATTGTTTGACATTGTTTCACACTGTTTTGATATACATAATTTGTCAAATAAGGAAAATATTAAAGTGTGAACTTAATTTAGGGACTACCCAAAAATGAAAGTGAGAACTTAATTGGGGGACGGAGGGAGTAAAACTTTGTCAAATTTGACCGACACAAGAATTAATAAAGTAAAAACTGTGTAGTTGAGGTTTGCGCAAAAGAGAGATAAGTAAATGAAACCACAAATTATTTACTTGAAAGAAAAACTGTCAAAGTTAGTGGACAACCAAAAAAGAAAAACTAACAAAATTTTAAGAGATTGAGTACTTAAATGATACCCCGTATCTATCTATCTATCTATAATAATATAAAGGAACAAGGTGAGGAGCCTTTTTTGTTCCAAATCCCGCCCAAACTTATGGGCACAATTGGTATTTTAATATTTTTCGCTAATTAAATCCCGCCCAAAGAATGAAAGAGCTATTTAATGACTTATTATTAGTAAAAGCAACTGTCTAAACATAGGTGTGAGTAATAATAACATACTCCATAGTTGGTAAAGGAAAGGTAATAAAACGTGAACTTTGTACAAGGAAATGTAATAATGTGTAGCATCTAATTAAATGCAATTGTCTACTTGCAATATTATGTAACACGTACGTAGGTCTATGTAATTATAATAACATAATTGATAGATAAAGAAAATGTAATAAATGGTTAACTTTGTATCAAGAAATTTAATAGCATCTAAAATATAAATATATTACTCTCTGTGTAATTATAATAACATAATTGATAGATAAAGAAAATGTAATAAATGGTTAACTTTGTACCACGAAATTTAATAGCATCTAAAATATAAATATACTCTCTCCCTTCCGGAAAAGTTCGCCAAAATGTCGTTTCTTCATTAATGATAACAAATTTTGGACAATTATTTTAATTATTACTCCGTATATTTGTATATAATTTATAAATTTTATACATTTATGAAAATATTATATAATAATATTAATAATAGTCTATAATCATCATAATCATAAAACAATATCAGGCTTACGAGAATATATGTTTCAAATGCCATAGTTGGATATCTAATTCGCTATACTTGTCTGATATATATGCAAATTAAAAAATCAAAATTCACAAGTAAGGTATTTATTCATTTATCATGATATCATCGTTTGAGAATATCATGAAGAAAATGTTGAATGTCTCACCATTAAACCATGTACAATTGATTACTCTTTATAAAGAAAATGTTGAATGTCACGTCATTATCTATAAAGATAAAAGATCATGTGTAGCTAAGATAAAATGAGGTTACATATATGATGGGGTAGAACAAAACATATAGCACCAAGAAAATCGTCCACATATGACCTTGATTCTAGAGAGAGAAGGAGAAGTTGACGTCCAAAAAAACTAGTCATACAAGAATCGTGTTGATATTTTTACGAAAATCATTTCCCCTTAACAGATTTGAAAAACTTCCACGCAAGATTGACACAAATAATCATCATGATATAGGTAAATTGAATAGGACTAGATTTTGTAGGAGCAAATAAAAGAAATGAAAAATAAAGTTGTAAATTTAAGGACTGGATTAATAGTTTGTATCTTAAAATTTTAGGGAAATATTCACTTTCCATGTAAAAGACATATATTGACTGATTATGTGTGTAAATTATTCTTAAATTACACACATAGTTTATTGCAATGCTTTATAAAATCATGCATAGTATTTTATCACTTTCTCTCTCTTTAGTTTTTTTTACATAATACTGTGTGAAATGTTTTTAAAAAAAGTTCTACCATTTAATAAATCAAATGGGGTAGGCCCCTTACATTTCTACGTTTCTCATGCAAAATACTTAGTTTGCATCCTACCAAACTCGCTATGTGTGTAATGATGTTTTCAAAACTTATTTACTACTAATACTAGGATAGTTCTATATCTGTTCCTTTCAAGACTCAAACAAATTAAACCAAGTCACGTAAAAATTTTTAAAAGTAGAATGAGTAATGCATTTAGAAATGCTTTCAAGAAGGCATTGTCACTACAATCAACCCACGAAAGTAAGGGGGAAACATCATATAGAATCACATACACACAACACAATATTGTGTCTAGGAAAACGTGACCCAAAAATCATGACCCTTAGCCGCCTAGTTTAGTTTTCATTTCTTTTATTTACTCCTATAAAACCTAAAAAGTTAAAAGTAAGAAGTTTGACTAAAACACACAAGCTCTAGCTAGACTTAGGGCAATTTTGTTGGACTGTTCCATCTAGATTTCATTTTGCCATGATAATAAAAACCATCAGCATATGTTAATCTTTAAAGCAATTAATTGGCCTCTTATATATATCCTCCCTTATAAAGCTTTTTTATAAGAATTGCAATCTTTTGTAGATACTTCTACCGTAAAAAATGTCTCTACCAAAGTTCTTGGGATGGAATTATTTTTCGTAATGAGATCCTTAACTATTTACTTATTAGCCTATTGAAGTTTTAAACAAGTCAGTGATAAATAAAGTGTTCTTAAATTAAATGTAAAACTTAAAGCATACATAGTAATTAATCTTGCATTGAGAAAAATTAACTAGGCTCTGTGGAATCTTAGATTCTTATTTTTCAAAGACCAAGTACCCAACCGTACGTCCGAAAATTAAAGTTTCCAATGGGAATAAGTAGGCTAGCTCACATCCAGTTGTACAAATTAAAGTCATCAAGAATTTTATGCACTCCAACTTATCATTTTCAATTGCTCAAAGTTAATATTGAAATACATTAATACCAAAAATTTCAAAGTTGTTAGAAGTAATAAGCAAGTTACTCGAAGACTTAATTGAATATATTTGACTTCAAACGGTATTAGTAAGTTTTGGTTTTAATCTTAGACTAAATTGTATCGGATCACATACTCCATAATAATCCATATATAATATCATATTTTTATCCGACCGAGTCAATTCGTATAAGATCGGAGAATTTCTGTTCACATGAAAATATCTTTTATATCAAGATTTCAAAAGTTTAAATTTATATACTCCCTCCCAGGAGTCAGGGCACTGGGCCGGACCCGGACTGGGCTGATATAAAGAATATTTTTCAGAAAAAGTTTACACGAAAATTTTTACCTTAAAAATATAGACATTTTTAGAATTTGGTTTGGGCTGGGACCAGTGTCGGCCCCTCCCGAGCTACGCCCATGCTCCCTCCGCACTTTAAAGTTTGCCACAATTTTTGAGATGTATTTAACAATTTGATACACTTTTCTCTTTTGATGAGTTTTCTCTTTAAAAATAGTCAATCACTCTTACTTTTTTTACTCTTTATATTGCATTTTATATTGCATTTTATACTTTTACACGGTCTCTCATACTTTTTTATACTATTCATTACTCTGGTACTTTCATCATTAAATAACAAGTCAAAGTTAGAGCCCGTTTGGAGAACTCTGTTTTCGGCTTATCAGGCTTATCAACCAGCTTTTTCACCAAACACGTAACTTTTACTTTCGCGCGCTGAATTGTGTAATAAGCCGAAAAAGTAAGGTTGGAGTTACTTTTCTGGCTGTATTGGCTGAAGTTACTGTAGAGGACCATTTTAGCTATTTTTACATATAATTTTTTCTTTAATTTATTAATAAAATATATTTTTAAAATATTTTTTTCTTAAATCAGCAGAATCAGCCAAAACAACCACTCCAGCCAGAATATCATAAATTTCAGCAGAATCAGCCAAAACAGCCGATTTTTGTTCTACCAAACGGGCTCTTAATGTAACAATATTTAGAATATGGAGGGAGTTTAGACGCTAACTCTTACATTATTTGCAAACTTGATAATTATTTGTACGTACGTAAAATACTGAGGGAGGGAGTTATTCTGTTAAACGAGATGATTCGACTGTATTATAAAAATGATTTAGATGAGCATATAATATAACAAATTCATTGACAATAATCGTGATGTTATAAATGTATTACTTCATATTTTTAATATTTAATAATTAAATTATTATTTAAGAGGACTATTTATTTTCTAAAATGGAAATTAAAACACTTAGTTGGGACCCTTCAAAATAAAGAAAATATAGAATTTTAAACATGAACAGTCAATACTTTGAAAATATAGAATTTTAGCTATACATACATAGTAATGTAATAAATTATTTTATTACTATTGAAACTTTCTAAAACATTCTATTCTAATCTAGTTTGGTAAAAGCTGACATGATAAAGTTATGGTGTATGTGTATTTTATAATTTTTTGTATTTTATTTTATTCGAATTGTTTAACTTCAATCTGTTTTGGTTTATTTAAGTAAGTTTTGTGACCAATTCTTTATGCAATTTTAACTCTCCTTATAGCGAAGGTAAACTCTAGCTCTCGATGACCGCGGCGGCGCTAAGGGGATTTGAAGATCGATGATCGGCGGCAACTTCAAGAAGATTACTGGTCGTTGTTCATGTTAGGCCTTCCCTCTGGGTTAGTTGTGTTGCTCTGCTCTTTTTCTCCGAACGTTTTGTTCCGAGTTTATGGTCCAGCCACTTTGGCCGAGTTTTGGTGCTTGGTTCGTGTTCTCTGGTTTAGGTGTCTCGTTTGGCAGGGATTCCTCTTGATATTGAAATTACAGGGGATTGCTTTTTGTGTTTCGTTTTTGGTTCTTTGGTATCAGCAAGTTTCTTGGCTTTTGTTT